TGTGCCATTCCACATTATTACAAATAACTTGATTTCTGGACATTTATGGTTTGATTTCTTTTTATGTATGGATCACTTGGGTTGTTACCAACATCTGGTGAAAATTTCATGTCACTAGCACCTCTAGTAATATATTTACTGAGACAAATGGTGACGTGTTCAATACGTATTTTACCTACTGTATATACTGTATATGTGTATATGTATATTACCAGAAAATACTAATTGTATTTTCTTAACATTGAGCAAAACAAATGGTAAATAGCTTGAACTTATATAATGTGTTATCATGCCCAAGGACTCCAAATCGTTTTACATTATAGTCATTCAAAAGTTTGTAAGCTACATTGTAGCCACAGCTGCCCAGAGTCAGACTGACAGAAGTGAGGCTGCTATGCACCGACTCCACCAAAACCCAAATGACCGTCAACAGGCAAGGAGGTGCAGTGTTCATCCCAAGAACTGATGCGGGTTTGAATTAGCAACCCACTGGTCACACAACAACTCCCTACACTTGTCTATCTGAAATGAAGAACTTTTCGACCCATCAAACTCAATTGTTCTCTTAGAATTCAAAGATAGACAATGTTACCTTTTGTTTTGTCTGATGCCACAAATTCCCCCTCTGAGGCCTCACCTGAGGACATGACTCAGTGGAAATATCTGATCTTAGAAGGATAAAAAATGTTCAATAATTAGTTTTTGCTGGAAATGATGCACTGGTCAACATGTCTCATTAACCACTCAATGGATTTTAATTAAATAACAAGTTTTACAAATCTATTATTAATTTTCTTTATTCAACAGCAACAAACAGTGGTATAAGCTGTTGTCTTCCAGAAAGAGAGTCACAGGTATTTATTCAGTCACCATCAACCAAACATTGAAAACCAGTAATAAAAATGGATGGATGAATTCCTAGAAGCCCAGACCACAGTTCTTTAAATTATTATAGTTTGTGTCATGTAAACCTTTTAGAAAAGGTCTTTAAGGTGTTACCAATGGTTTGTTTAAAAGTGGTCAAATGCATTGCATGTATGGAGCTGGCTTTTTCGATCTAATTATAATTTCTTTTTAAAAAAGATTGTTGACAACATTGCAAAAACAACAATAGTCACAACTGAAAAAGGAATAATTCCTAGATAGCTGAAAAGATTTGATCTTTACCATCTGATAAGTAAAAGAATTTCTAAAACTGGGTTCCACAAAGCTGGTGAAGAATGTAGGTGTGTCTGTTGGGACCACATATCTTATTCTGCAGACACAAGGACCCAGCATCCTCTGTGCTGCTCAGACTGCAGTTTCTGTTCCAGGATCTTCATCCAAACAAGAGTTCTGAGCTCATTCCTGATTGTGAGAAATCAACATGAAGTTCTGTCCTACAATAGTTGTTCTACTCATAGCAGCTTGTCTGTTTGTGCCCTCTTACTCTTACTCTATACCGACAAAACCTGGTAAGTTGGATTTTTCTTCTTCCGTGTGTTTTATTATGTTTTTGCTCACGTTTTTGTTTGCTTAACAAATGTAGAAATGTGATAACTTTAAGAATGTTAAGCCCACTTTCCTCTAAAACCAGGGATCTGCCCAGAGAGGCTCATTTCACAAAAGTCAGATTTATAAATTCAGGATCTCAGCTGTAAGCTGAGTTTAAACAAGCCTTCAACTTGTCAACAGCTGTGATCTGTTGCTCTAACACCAAGCCACGCTCAATTAAGGTGGCTCATTCAAGCCAGCTCTAAATGGTTTAGGATTAATGCACGTTCA